TTAATCATCTCCCCGGATCTAATGGGATTTCTCTGCTGCAATTCATCACGCCACCCCCTCCCCGCACACACACGCTCACCCGCGCGCTGCCTCGCTCCACTCCAGGCGTCTAGGGGCGCCGGGGCGCGCTGCGGGGGGTGGGGGAGCTCGCGGGTGCAGAGTCCGGACAGTCCAGCTGGCAGCCCGCCGTTCTGCCTCCCCTGCCGTTCTCCAAACTTCGCTCGACTTTGCCGCTGAGTCTGGGGCCCCTCGCATCCTCACTGCAGAAGAACCAACCTGGCAGGGTGGTGGCGGGACCCGGGATTGGGACATCTCTCACCCACCTCTCTTCGCCTTGGCACTGTCATGTCAGAATTGGAACCTAGAGCACAATTCTGGGGAGACATTCGGGGACCCCGGGAGCCTTCTGTTTGTCCCCTCGTTCTTCGCTGGGCTGCAGCGACTGAGGTCCTGGGACCGGCTGTCCTCTCCGAAATTCTTTTATTGCGCGCACACACACGCACACGCCCGGAGGCTGCCTCCCTTCGGCTCTGCCGTCCTGCCGGGTCCTATCGACCCCGGAGTGGCAGACTAGGTGGCCGAGCTCACCGTTTGCCCCAGCCCCCGACTCGAGTGAAGTCCCAACTTCATTGGTCTCGGTTTAGAAAAGCTTGGCCTTGGAGTAGGCAACAGGGAGTTTGGAGGAAAGATGATTGGAAAGCAGAAAGGAAGCAAATCTAATCTGAAGCAAGCAGTCTCAGAGTCTACAATTGCTCGCGTCCTCCGCTTTTACTGGTCGCTTGGTGGGGTCCGCGAAACCACACTTGGACTTGGGACTCGAAGTCTCTTGCCATATGGTTATGGTTCTTAGCGTCTGCTGTGGAGGATGGAGGGAGGGGAATTTCTAACCTTCAGACTCCATCTTCCTAGGCCGAGAGTTTGGAGGTCAGATCAGCCCGTCGCTGAGCTGGTACCAAGCAACTGTTCTCCTGCCCTAGAGGCTCGGGAGCACGTCTTTGAACCTCTACCTCTACCCACAAGCAGACCGAGTCTTTGCCCAACTCATCTGGCTGCTCATACTGGCTCCTCCTGGGGCTAGGAAAACTTGGGATCATATGTTTACCTTGCTAGGAGGAGGAAGAATTTCACAAGCCCCACTCTTGAGAAGGGATGAAAAGAACACCCACCTCCCCACCCCACCCCACCCCACCCCCGCCGCCGCCAATAAATTAAGGATATCTCTCTCTGTATTCGGGACCTGTATGGGGTCTGGTCACATACTGGCTCCTTCCTTGGAGCACAGAGTCTGTATGGGTTCTCTGGAATGGGAGTTCTTGTCTGAGGGTATGAATGTGGCCTGGATTCTGTAGGTCCCAGGATGTCTGCTCTGAGTGTTGGGTGACAATTCATCAGTTAAGCCACTAGTGTGCAGGTGTAACCTCTGCTTGCTAGCTCCTTGCAGGTTGGAAAGAGACCACAGGTCTGCATTAGAAAGCTGGTAAGTCTGGCCTGGAGGTGTGGAGGTTCTGGTTGGGAGGAATTTACCCTCTCTGGCCAAATGTCTGTGTCCCCAGCAGTGTCCTTCTATGACTCATTAGATTCTCCGGGGCTGTGGGATTGCCTGTCTGGTGGGTTTCATAGGTAGAAAGAGAGGACTTGGAAGCAGTGGCAAGCTTGGTAGGGAAGAGAGTCTGAACCCAGAGCTGGGTGGCCAGCAGGCCCCTACCTCTACAACTTAGATGGACGGTTACTCATTAAGGTCTCATTTGGGAAGTAGCTCCCTTGGCTATCTGGGGTTCCTGGAGACTTTAGTAAAGGAGAGACTGGAGGAGTCAAGGCCTTAGGTTGTAAGTCTTTTGGCCAGAAGATGCATCCCTGCAGCCTGGCAGCCTGGGGAGACCTTAGAGCTTTGCTCAAAAGAGGGACTCAGGCCACAGGATGCAGTCAGCCGTAGTCTGAACCTTCAACCTTCAGTAGTTCAGGGGAGGCAGAGGCCCTGAAAACCAAGGAGATAGATGAGTAGTGCCCCCCGACCCAAAGGCTCAATTCCCTTTTTCATTTTTGGCCTCTTAGTTGTAATCGGTTGCAGGTATGACAGGCATTACAGACCATGGGGCGTCCTCCCAACCCATGGGAAGTGCCAGGGAGGTCTTGCCACAGTGGGGGAGAAGACAGTTCTGCAGGAGCTGTGCCTGCCTAGGCCTGCTGTGTCAGTTTAATGATTTTTAATGAGCAATTACCTTTAGTCATTCTCTTAATTTCTGAATATCAATAAAGTTAATTAAACTCTGCGTGTGTGCATGTGGCCTGGGGAGATTGTGAAGGTAAAAGCAGCCAAGACTGGGGTGGGATTAGGTCTCCAGGTACAGAAGCTGCCTCCGTAGTTATGTGACCTTGGACCCAGGGTTCCATCTCTCCCTGCTCTCTTCAGAGTGTGGTAGAAAGATGGGGGAAACCAGAAATAGCAAACCTCAGTTGCTTATTCTTCCAGAAACTGGGGGAATAGTGTGTGGGAGAAAAAAAGGGGGAAGGATTTGGCTTCCAGGATCCCCACTGATGCAAGGGCTAACAGCCTAGGACTGACTTAAGCTAAAATGCTGATCACGCTTGCAGGTGGAACTCCGGTTGGTGCTGGCTTCTGACAGCACATTGGTGAGTCTGGGGGCTGCCTCAGAAGCAAGCATCCTTGCCTCCTGTTCTCTAGCCTGGAGCTTCAGGATGATGGCTTTTGCTGGGGACAAAGGCCGGTGGGTGAGAAGTAGCTTGGATTCCACTCAGAGGCCCAGAGGTGGACGTGGCAGGCAGGGAACCCCTGCTGGGTTTCTGAGTAGACCGCCCTGAGAGGAGGAGAACTCTGAGTTGGCTTTTTGCCCCTCACGGGCCTAAGCGAATCAAGCTTGGCAGGCCCTGGCGGCCATCCCAGCCTCCTCAGCAGGGTGGCAGCTTAAAATGCCTTGGGGATGCTGTAGGGGCACTAATGGGGAGCAAGAAGACAATGGGACTGAGCTTAATTAGAAACTGAGCTTCCATGCCCCCCCACGTGCCTGCCTGAACAGAGGGCGCAAGTCAGAAAGGCTGCCTCCTTACCCTGTCTCTCATTCAGTCCCAGGCCCTCCAGCCTCCTCCAGCCCTTCTGTGTTCAAGCTCTCTTGTCTCTCCTAGCTCCAGTTAAGCCCATCTTCTCAGTGGGGGGCTCAGCTTAGGAATCCTGCACCCCCATTAGGGAAGAACTATCAGGGTTCATTATACCACCCTCCAATCTCCCCAGAGAGAAAAGGGAGCAATAGACAGGAGTAGCCTCGGTAAAGGAGCCTCCCAGTCAGATGGTGAAGAGCCCAGCCTACCATGCCCTTGGCTTCGCTAGACCGCCACTCTCTGGAGCCTTCAGTGTGAAATTCACCGTTGCCAAGCCTAGTTTTTCACCTATAAGAGGTAAGCACTATAAATAAGAGTCATCTGGAAGAGGAAAAGCTTCCAGCCCTAGTCCACAGCCAGGAGGTAGAGAGCAGGTACTAGGAGATCTCCAAGGCCAGTTCCAACAGGAAGCAACATCATACCAGAAAGATGACTAATCCAGCCAGGCCAAAGAATCTCCACATTAGTTTTACAGACTAGCCAAGTAATCAATAGCTTTTGGACTCTTCATGTTTCTTCTACCTGATTTTTTTTTTCCCCTCCTCCTCTGCCAGCCTGGTTAGTCTACTTCATGCTTTAAGTATGGTTTGACTGGTATGTCAGTAATTGGCATGGTGTGTCTTCTAGCCTGGGTTAGAGGATTTGTCCATGCTTCCATGGTCTGTTTGCTGCCCCATCTGGTCCCTGAACTGTTGCATCAGGAGCTTTTGCTGGTTGCTTGATGCCCCTTCCAGTAGCAACAACTCAGAAAAGAGGATAGTAAGTCTACTCACTCCATATATCTTGGGCAGCTCCAAAATTCCCATTTAGGAAGAACCTAGGGGTCATCTGTCTGGTTAGAATGGAATGATAGGCCCCTGGCAGCTGGGCCTGTGTCTTGAAGCTGAGTTTGTATAGCAAGCACGGTGTTTTTACATAGATTGTATGCTGAGTTTTTCCTCCTTTCCTAACAGTTGGCCAATTATTTTGCCTGTAAATTACAGCCTTTACTTAGTTTTTTTCCCCTTCTACAAATTAAGCTGTCATGCCATCAGCCTTAGGTGGTTTTGGGGGGGGGTCTGTTGGCCATTCTTAATGCATGGTAAAGCTTTCTCTCAGTCATCCCTTAGTGCCACTGCTGCTTGTGTCCCCAGTGGCTCAGAGCCTACCATGTGGCACACATTAAATGCATGTTAAGAAATTTTTAAGAATTGCATGGGCAGAAATCAGCCCAGAAAAGAAGCGCAGGGCCCAGCCTTTCAAAGCCCCTCCCACAGTTCATGTCTGGCTGAGAGGGAAGCCTTATATAAACTTAAGGACTGGGGCTCCTGAGTGCACTCATCCAGTCAAGCTTCAGAAACCATTACATAGCCTGGAGAGACCAATATGGCCTCTGAGATCAGATATGCCCTTGAACAGAGTAGTGGAAGCCTAAGAATAATCTAGATAGCAATGTAGGTCCATGAACCTTTCTCAGCTCCTAAACAAAGCAGGTGCTGGGGTTCAGCCACCAACCATTCATTCTGTCCATTATTTGCTTACTCATTGTATGAACACGGTTTGAGTTGTGAGGACTGGCCCAGAGAACACCCTCACCCACAGGGGCCCAGGCTTCAAAGATCATGACTTTTCTACTTAATGCTCACATTAAGAGGTTGGGATCCCCACTTTACAGATGGGAAAACTGAGTTTGGGAGAGATGAAATCACTTACCCTGGGCTGCCTAGCTAGTGAACAGAAAGGATTCCCCAAAGTGCCTGCCCATTTTGGAAGGTCCTGCATCAGCCGGGACTCTGTCTCCTCTAGCCTAGAGAAGAGTGGTAATATAGGCAAACAGGAACCCAGAATGCCACTATTCAAATAATACAAGCAGCAACAATAACAGCAAGTGTTTATTAGGACATGCCAGGCTCTCTACATGCCTTATATACATTTGCTCATTGCCCCTCATATCATTTCCATGAAATAGAAGCTATTACTTGCCTTTCATAGACCAAGTTCAAGCTCGTATTGTCTGACAGACTCAAGACATAAATAGTCCATAACTTTCTCCTAACATATTTCTGGCCTTGACGGTTAGTTTCCTGGTGATATCTATTCTTAGTCTTTATTGTAGCAGGTTTACAGACATTTTATCCTACTCTATCCTTAATGGCAAAGGACTGAAACATCTCAGCCCAAAGTAACTCCTGCCCTTTGAGGGTCTTGGTAAATAAGAGGACTGGTGCCACCTGTCTTGGCATCTTGGGTTACCCCACTCCCTCTGTTGAGGCCCAGTCCCCAGATGGAAAGCCAAAGCCTTCCCCAGCTTCCTTCCAACTACCTACCTGCCATCCAGCCACCAGCCCTTTGGGGGATAGGATCGATGCTGCAGCTGCAGGCAGAGTGTTGTTGGCCATTGATTGTTGAGATTTCTCGGAGGGCTTGGGAGCAAACAAACCTGCCACGTCTCCAACAACAATCCCAGGCTCTGGCTGCAGAGCCTGAATGCAGCCTTGCTGGCAGGGCGGCTGGCAAGAAGAGAAGGGGTGGGGTGGGAGGTCCTGGCTGGGACCAGCAAGATCAAGGGACTCTGCCAAGAGATGAGCAGGGGCTGAGTAAGCATGGGAAGGAGGGGAGGAGGTGATCTGCAGGGAGGAAGCTGGGTCCTCCCTTACATGCCTTAACTGGCCCTGCCTTTGCCTTTACAGACTGTCCTTCCGTCTGTTTCCATTCTCCTGCCTCCCCTTTCCTGATCACCCAGCAAATACTACCCATCACTCACCCATTCTTCCATGCTCCATTCAACAATCCCTCCACGCAGCACCTATTAAAAGCCAGACTATAACACAAGCCCTGGCCTTAAGGAACTTAGTTTAAGGACAAGCTAATAACTAAGATCTACCTCTCTAGCTAGAACAGAGACTTCTATTTTTTTTTCTCCTCTGATATTAATTGAATGAACTAGAAATGACAGATGGCACCTACAGGATTCAACTACTCTGGATTTCAGAAGGACAGATGACTCCTGGCCAGGCATCCTTCTGTACCTCACTGTCTCACTTGTAGCAAGAAATCACCATCTCATTCTGTGAAGGCCCAGAATGTCTCCAGGGTCCCCAGACCAGGACATGATGAAAGTCCTTCATCAAGACTTTCCCATCTCTGCTGGGTCTGGGTGTCCCTGTAATTTTCAACAGGCGGATATGGTACAGGTCCCACCTGCTTGTCACCAAACCAAATACATTGCATAATCCAAGTGGTGGATCTCCACCCTCAAAGTGCATCCCCAAGGGCTTAACCAGAATTGCCATACCCTGGCAGTAATCTCATCATGTCCTTCAGAGGCCCCTTCACCCCTTTTATCCCCTCCCCAAAGGGTCTTCCCTTTACAACGAAGCCCCTCCCACCCATCATTCAGAGAGGGCAGAATTTAAGGGCATTCATTAGAAAGCCCCCAATCCACTGGGCACCCTACAACTTATCTACATGCTGTTTTCCTCCTCCTCTTCCCATTCTCAGTACAGACTCAGCTACACTGCCCCCACCCCCTGGACTCCTTCCCGCTCCCTCCCCCCTCTCAGCTCTGCAGCCGCCGGATCACCAGCTTCTTTGTCCCTCAAGCAGCCACCTGCTGAGTGTCTGGCCAGGGTCCCACAAGCCAGCAGGTGCCTAGGGAGTCCCCAGTGCCTGGGGAGAGGGAGAATCAGGCAGTGTGGAGAGCCTTACTGCATCTCAGGAAAAATTCCAACAATACAGGGCTAATCAGAGAGCCAGGACCCAGGTTTAAACCTATGCTGGATCTGGGTGTCTAGGTGACCTTGGATAAATCATGTCACCTCCCTGTGCCAATGGGAGTTCATGGCACCAGATTCTATACCTCTTCTGTAGACAGCATAGAATCAAAGGAAATCAGAGAGGGCAGGGACTGGGAAGAGACTAGAATCCCTATTTGAGGAGACGGTCCTCCAAAAGCCAGAGAAATACACGGCACCAAGACAGGGGCCTCTTTGTCAGGCAGTCACTGGAGGGGCTGCACCCGATGACCAGGAAACACAGGTCAGGGCTGGGCTATTGAGTCAGGGGTGAGTATTAGCCCATCTTCCAGAAAGGTCTTCCAGAAAGATGAGATTAAGACACAGAGAGACAGACCCTTTAAGGGTCTTCACCAGGTACACTGCTCTGCCAACATTGCTGTAGACATTATTTGTATATAGTCAGGAGATGTGCTAGTGATTTGAAACATCTGGCCCAACAGCTGGCAGTCCCTGTCTTATCGAGATACCTTATTTTGTGGCTGGCTAAAGAAACTGGAGGAAAGTCAGATTTTGAGGATCAAACCCTGATATCGCCATGCAAAAGTGTAAAGGGGGCACTCAGGTAAGGCATGCAAAAGTCACCTCACTCTCTGGCACATTTATTTACCCAGATTCCTTTCTCCTCCCTCCTGCACTGCCCACTCAATACCCATCTTGTAGCAGAGCCTACTGTCTAGGCACCTTTCTCCCATTGCTCTCTGCCTATAGCCCAGGCTAAGAAGGCCTGTTATTCAGGTCAAGAAGGTCCTCATGAGGCCCTGATCGCTGGCTGGTCCTGAGGCCGAGTCAGTAACCTCATACTGACTCTGGCACTCCCTTGGCCTTCCCTGCCCTGGGCTTTGAACAACAGGAACAGGAACAGAGAGGTGAAGAAAGTTTAGCTCTCTCAATTAGAGGCATCCATCCACCCAGCTCAGCAGCGTCCTTGGAGGTAAAAACAAGGTTGGGGAAAGAGAATGGAGGTGGGGGATTGAGCAGCCAGCAACCCTAAGATTCTGGAGGGAGGAGGGAGCAGCTTAGACATGCAGGTACTTTGGCTGTGCATGCTTATCTGGCTTGTCCATTTATTCCTGGATGTCAGTGCCCTGTCTCTGCGTTCTGGGGAAATGGCCTATGGAACAAGTAGATCACACCTCAGCTGGGCCGTTGTTTCCCCCTTCCCATTGACATACTCCATTTTCTTTCTTCCCAATCTTGGACTCCACTGACCCCCTCAAGGAAACTCGAGAAGATGCCGCTATTTTTAGCAACTCTGTACCTCCTTTCTCCCTTGCTGAAGATTTCTGTGGAAGTGGAGGGACAGGGCAAGTCTGGGGAGCCTCACAAACTTGGGTGCTCAGAAGTTGAGACCCCTTCCCTCATTCCCAAGAAAGTGGCAAAGCGCTCCCTGCCCCCTGCCCCTTGCTGTCTCACTGAGCAGCCAAGTTCACAGGTTGTAGGTGGCAAGTGGCACCTGCTGGAAGAAGGCCCTAGACTAATCTCCTGCTCCTCACCCTTACCTCACCAAGTCCCCAGAGACAGGGCTTAACTCTCCCTTCCAAATGACTTTTCTCTAGGACATTTGGAAATCAGGTAGAGCTCCTGTCGTTCCCCCACAGAAGCTGGAAAAGATGGAGAGGGAGGGGTACTGAAGGGTCAAGAAGCAGAGTACAAGGGAGGCATGCTCAATGAAGCTACCCATCCAAGGGCCTCTGATATGGTCCTTGCACTTCCTAGAGGGGGTCAAGCCCAAGCTAAGTCTCAATTCTACCCAAAGGCCACCATCAAATCATTATCTCCAGACCCAGCAGGAACAAGCACTCACCCCATCACTACTCCCAGTGGCCCTGGAAACTAGTCTCAGCAGGGAGAGCACAGAGCAAAGTGGTTTCAGGAGCTGAACCAATGGACCCAAAAGGGAGGCAGCACTACCTCCCTCCCTCAAAGAAGGCCCACGTCTGGGCACAGCCTGTCTTGGCTCTCAGAGGCCTTTTGTTTCTGCATCTGTCCTTCTGCCTTGATCTCAGACTCCTAGGCCTGCCTAGGCTCCACCACCTGCCACAGGTCAGATTTCTATCTGGGTCTCCTCACCTGTAGGATGGGAGACAGTGGTCAGACGGTGCAAGTGAGCAGTGACCCAGAGCGAGAGCACAGAAATCAGGGTTCTCAGGGCCCTCCAGCCCACGTGGGCACCCACACACACATGCATGCATACATGTGCACAAACATGCCACAGGCCCACACACATGTCCATGTGTACCCACTCTCATATACACACGCTTTGCATTTGCACACATACACATGCCTGCTTACATGTACACACACATCACATGCACACACACACACACATACACACACACACTCAAGATGTGCATACATAGCCTCACTCCAATGCTCAGCAAACTGTGACCCAGAAATAGATATAAGGAGATGGGCTCCAGAGCATACAGAAGGAAAATAGTAACAGAGTATAATCCCTCACTCTGCCCACTGGGAGGCTCTATCAGCATCTAGAGTTGAGTATCGATAATAGAGAAGTTGTAACTGCCCCTTCCACCTAAAGACTTCTTAGGAAATCAAGAATCAAGTGCGGAGAAGGTAGGTCAAGCCCAAAGTCACACACCCATGGGGGGGTAGAAATCTCCTATGTTGGAGCCAGGGCTTTGATAAGGTCTCCACAGCTAAAAGCAGACAGCCTAGTGAGCCTCAGACAGCGAAGGAGCTGGAGTCCAGCTCAGCATTGAGAACCAGGATACCCTGGGGTTCTGAGCACAGGACCCTTTCTTCCTCGATTGTATTTTCTGAATCCATATTCTCCCAGATGCAGAAGACAGAAAGCACCACAGAAGGAAGATGACAAAGTTAGGGGGGTGAGTGGCCCTCATGCACAAAATAAGTACCTTCATTGGAGTCAAAGCTCATGGACTCTTGAGAGGATACCCACTAATGATCCTTCCCAGAGGTGGACAAAAGTGCTGGGATTGGCCTCAGAGGAGCTGGCTTTTGAACATTGGTATAGGGGCTTGGAGGGGCAGTAGCCTAATGACGCTGGTCTGGGGTCCAGGAAGGTAGCTGCTCTCCAGCCCTGTCACCTTGTGGCTCTGTCTGCCAGGCTTGCGGCTATATGGGACTATCCATGGTTAGTGTCTGAAGCTGGGGAGAGGGCAGAAGATGGAGGGAACTGCTGTTCCTCTCTTGATCATCCCTGTCCCCTAGCTTTGTCGCTGGACTAGCTGTGATGGTCTAGCTACAGGCTCCAGGGAGACAAGAGACGGTTTCTGCCTCTGCAGACTTCCTGTCCAGGCTGACATTTCCAAGGTTTGTCATTCTGAGAAATACGGTCTTTGCTGCTGATGGTTTGGTAATGACTGGGCTGGCTCTGGAGGAGGCTGTGACTTGAGCAACCAGCTGAGGCCATGCTCTTCTTTCCCTCTGCTCTATACGTCTGTCTCGGGACCAGCAGACATACCCTCCCTGTCAACTAAGTGCCTAGGCAAAAGAAGGGGCTTGGAGTAGCAGATGGACAGAGGAGCTGATGGATAGAAGCCCCACCATGAGGAAAGGAAGCCTCAGTGCCTACCTAGACCTTTTGTTTGCTACAGCCTGGTCAAGGTGAAGAATAGTAGGTTAGACTGGCAAGGTAACAAGATGGGGGTTCCTCCCGTTGCTTCCACCCTGTTCCAAGGGCAGGGGCCAATTCTACAGTCCCTACTTCTCAGGGCAGTACTCT